GTTGTAACCACTTTGCATAGTTTATAGGGAACGCTGGCACCGTAATCACACAAAATAAAATAAAAACGACTAAAATAAAATGTCAATGTGCATATGCATGGGGCTGCTAATGTGCTGCTAATCACAGTTATGCTGAAAAGTCAGTGTTTCTGTGTCCCCGCCCATTCTGTGATACACTGCAGAGCTGTGTGGCTCTTCTGTGCACTTCAAAATTCCCACATTTTCTTCCAGTTCCGTTTAAATAAATGCAAATGCGGGTGAATTATGTCATTTGTTGTTCCTCATCAGCTGCTATAACCTGAAAAGATCAAACCATCATGAGGATGTACGTCATAGCAGGGGCGATTTTAGCCCATTTTGGGGGGATGTTTCAGCACCCCCAAAATGAATCAAAGCACCCCCAAAGATTTCTTACCTTTCTGACAATATTTGCTGTTTGTGTGACACACTACTAAAAATATAAAAAGCATACAGTACTTGGTTGAGACGTAACATTTTAACAACAAAAGTATAGATATCCCCCCCGCCCCTCTCCCAAAATGGTTTGTTCCAGCTCGGCTCTCCCCTGCTCTGGCTCTAGCGCCGGTGCTGCCAGAGGATGTTGGCTGAGACATAGCAGAGCGGAGGTTTAAGTGCCTGGCTTAAAACAGGACATATTAGCTGCATTTAACCTTCAGTTACTCTTTATATAGTTAGGTAGGTGTCACACCATGTTTCTTTTTAGCTGAAAAACATTACACCCAGGTAACCTAAACATGGTAAAAAAAAAAATTGGCTTGCTTTTTTTTGGGGTTTTTTTGTTCCTAAGGACCCCAAAGCGCTTTACACTACATTCAGTCATTCACACACACATTCACACACTGGCAAGCTACATTGTAGCCACAGCTGCCCTGGGGCGCACTGACAGAGGCAAGGCTGCCGGACACTGGCGCCACCGGGCCCTCTGACCACCACCAGTAGGCAGACATGGGGTTAGTATCTTGCTCAAGGATATTTGGCATGCAGCCAGGAGGCAGCCTGGGATCGAACCACCTTCTGATTAGTGGCTGACCTGCTCTGCCACCTGAGCTACAATGTGTTTTCCCATGATATTTGCTACCCTACAATCCGTCCTGCTCTGTAGTAAAATCAGCGACATCTGACCGCCCTGTTGCTCCCATTGAAATTTATACAGCCTATTTAAAATCTAAAACTTAACATTGTTTTAGCCTACTGTTGTTGCCACTGTCCTGTTTGAAATGGAATGAGAGAAGCTGCTTATTTTGTCATATGTGCCTATATTAAACCCAGGAGCCACATTCAGGTAAACGTGTAAGAACAAATGATCTGTCAATCAAGAATAATGTTGGATCAGTGTTTCAATATTTATATATTTTATTAGATGTTCATGTGGTTTGGTTATTTGCCTTTTGGTTGAAAGTACACTGAGATAGGACTTTTTTATTAGTGATCTTAATAATATTTTTTTTCATATTAATGTAATTTTTTTTAATCTAATTGAATATAATCTATTTGTGTATGATTGTGAGTCCAAAGAGGGAGAGAGGAAAGAGGGGAACGTGAGGAGAAAGTACAAGGTCAGGAAGAACCAGGTAAGGAAACAGAGAGGGAACAGTGACAGGCACAACAGAAACTGTTAAACTGCTTGAGAGACTTGACCACCAAAAGTGATAGACAGATTTGCCAACCTCAAGGTGAGGCCACATAGGTTAAAATAAAAGAAAAATAAATCTGCAGAACCATAGTAGTATCTGCAGTAAAGATCTTTTCATACATTGTATACATTGTACCATAGGAAAAGTTGCCTCCATTATTATAATTGTTTTTTTATCAATATTTTGTACATTTGTACATTTCAAGGACTCTATTTTTGGAGTGTATTTTTATATATCTGTATTGTACTATACATACACATTAAAAGTGAACCTCTGTCCAAAAAATGCACTCAGTTTACTTCTCATTTACTATGAGCATCATTTCCCCCCAGTAATTAAGGTTAGGATATGTATTTTTTTTTTTAAATTCCAATCCATTCTTCATTTGCAGCATTTAAATAACCTTGATCAGATTTGATGGTTTTGTTACAGACTTTTAAAAAGTGTTTTGCTTTTCTTTTACAAATGTGGGGATTCAATTGTGTTAAAATGTACAAAACAGTGATGTCATGTTTTGTGACGAGGACCCAGGCACAGAGAGACTTGATGAATTTAAGAATCTTATGATTTAATAAAGAAATTTGCAGACTTGCACAGAGATGGTAAAATTATGATGACTGATAACGGAAACGAAGACAACGGAGGACGAGGACAGGGAGGAACAGGGGTTTAAATGCACCAAGGAGACAGTCAGAGAGAACTCAGGACAACTGGAGACATTTAAGGATGCAGGGACTGACAGAGACAGGGAAGAAGTATCATCGAGTAAAGTTTATCTTGCCTGGCTGGGCAGTGCTCAGCACCCCCAAAGCTCTGATCCTAGAATCGCCCCTGGGTCATAGGAAGTACAAATCACACAACACTGTTTTTAAAGCCTAAATCAACATAAATAAGACACATATGTTCAGATAGAAACCCTTAGACTGTCCACAGTTACATAAAACACCCATCTCGCTCTCTGTTGGGTAACTTATGTAATGTGAAACTGTTTTGGGCTCCTGTTGATACCAATTCCTCCTGCTGTCTGCTTCTGAGTACACAATGACCGCAAGTTAGACCCTTGGACAAATTCAGGGAATACTGACTTACATGCTGGCTACAGTAGTGCAGGTCTTAGTGGGGTTTCCTGGATAATTTGCACAGAAACCAAAAAACTGATAACTCTTATGCACCAATAAGGTGTCTGCGAGCCCAGAGTTGGAACCTCTGACCGCATCAGTGGCTGAGGGGCTACTACAAGTCCACCATTGATAGATAGATGGAGCTCATGGAACCTATCCACATCCAACTTCCCCCATTTGCTTTTAAACCTGTCCAAATACAGGCTACTTCTTGAAAGTCAAGAGGAAGCAGGAAAGCTGTGCACCAGCTCTGTGTTAGCTGCAAGGTATCTGACATGTGGAACACAGCAGGGCTAACTATGGTGAGATTTAAATTATAAAGTGTGCAAACATCTTCCTGTTAGGTGCTCGTGCCGTGCAATTTACACACACTCACTCTCCCTAGGAAGGGAACTACATGCACTAGGAAGCACAGGTCTTTATGTGAGATTATATAGGTGTCATTCAAAAGCCCCACTATCATTTCTGACCCAGATAATACACGCGATCTCATGAAAATCGCCTTGAGCATAATTAATGCAACCTTCAACATGTCATATATTGCTCTCCACGGAGCTGCTCCAGAATTGTTATCTTGATTGCCTGAACCCTTGAGAAGAAGACAGCTGTAATGACTATAAGCTCTTCACCTAAGAAATCCCTGCTAAAAGTGAAATCAGATGATGAGTTGATTTGATTTTGCATCACTTGAAATTTCCACCTTTGTGGCATTCGCTCACATCGATGCAGAGAACCACACAGAGGGTTGCGTGAGCAAATCAAATATTGTTTTATTCAGATTTTTTTTTTTCATCCATACAGCAAGAGTCAATTAACAATAAAATGTGCATAAACAAATATGAAGACAGAATAGTACATTATTGTGTGGCAACTGTTAGCAAATACATAACTGGGTGGGTGCACTTACAAGTAAAAAGCAGTCAAAGCGTACATGTGCGCCCAGCAGGGAAGCGAGACCTCGGTTGCAGCCTGAAGACTGAACGTGTGGTTTGGAGAAAATGGTGCTTTGGTTCTGTAGCAACTATACAAAGCAGCCTCGAGTCAGAAACACATCTGATGTTGTCTGGCGACTGTTACATTCATTTTTTTAAAGACTAAATTTGCCAAATAAGCATTTGGTGTGATGAGCCTTCACCTGCTGAGTGCACAGCTATAAGAGCAGGAACAACTGCCCCGTGAGTCAGCGTGGACTGTAATTATACGGCTATGAGAATGTATCCGGGGGGTGGATGAGTGCTAATGTTTTCTCATTCTTTAAATAACAAGTTTGCTTGGACAATATTTTATTTTAATCACACAAGAGTAAGATGACTTGTTCTAAAGTATCACTTCTTCCCACTGTGGATGTTATCTACTGCATGGATAATTTGAAAAACAAAGAACAAATGTTGTGTATTCTGTAGTCTGAAGGTGTTATCTTATTACCTTACATATCTATCTTTTGTTTACGTGTTTGTATTTTACATGCAGTCAAATCAAACTATAATAGAATACACATTTTTGACAGGTTCATGTATCAGCTGTACCATGGGAGCAGCAATACTGCGTGACCAAGTCCAACAAATGGTATATGAATGTTACTGGATATGTCATCCTACAAGAGGGGTGGAGTTAGCATGATATGGGGATATCTACTCCCCTACAACATTCCCTGGCAATACTAGCCACTTATAAAATAAGACAAAAAGCGCATAGCTTTCTCTGAATGCATTGGCCAAGAAACTAGTGCCCTTCTTTGCAAGCATTTTTTTTCTTTTAGCTGGTCTTCTAATTTAAGAATTTAAATTAATCTAACAAAATTCCTTATAATTATAGATCTTTTTTTATTCAAAATAATATCTCAATATGATACACATTTTTTTCTCTGTTCATTTGACTATATACAGAAGTGCAAAAAGACAACCTTCGTCCCTTAGGTTCGAACTCATAATCTGCAGCATTTCTGATTCCTCGGGAAAACAGACGCCTCTGCTTCCTCGCTCCTAATCTCGCTATCTATCGAACATCCGAACACCCGTCAAATCTCAATGCTCGTTTTGGCCTGACATTCAGGGCAAACTTAAGAAATATTCAAACAAAAACAAAATTACATATCTCTTTGAAATGGATACAGTATAAAATAATTTTTACTCTAAAACATGGACAGTCTGAATTTCAGTACAATATAGTATTTTCAAACATGATCTCGGCATGTTACAAGGAAAAATTTAAGTTGGTTAAAATAGTTTTTGTGTGTGTGTGTGTGTGTGTTTGATTTTTTTGTTGTTTTTTTCTTGTTAAACTCAGAGACCGCTGCCGTGCAGCAAATCAATTGATCTCGTTCCTCGTATCAAAAAGTCTTCTCATCAACAACAACAACAAAAAATTAACTGACAATGTAACACAACTGAAAAAGACATCCAGCTATATGAATGAAGTGAATATTTAAAACTAACACATTATCATTTATATGGTTTGAAAAAAGTTATGAATGTCATTCTACCTCAACATCTACAACGGCTATATCAATGTTGTCAAGTAATATATAGTAAGGCAAAAACAAAACAACAAAAAAAAAGAAAAATAATCTAAAACTACATACATCAAATAGATTCAAATTCTTAAGTAGTACATAACACATAAGTTCAATGAAATTTAAGAGAGTAATTGTTATTGTTACAGAGCGAGAGAGAGAAAAAAAAGATCATAAGCGGCATGTGAGAGAACTATAAAACATCATTGGTGTTCTTTACCTGCACGGTGATTGAGAGTACATTTGATTGGGCGAGGACCCATTAACTGTAATCTAAGGCTTTGTTAGGTACATTACAATCGGTAAAGACACGCTGCTGTGAAAAACATAAATCAAGACACATGAATGAAAGATGATAAACCTTTTTCCTTAATTGTTTCAGCCTCTGCAGAGATGTCTCTGTATTCACCCACTGTGGATAAGTTTGAGAGAAAAAAAACAAACTGTGCTTTGGTTTCCATAGTCAGATCTATGCGTGGATGAAAACCTTTGTGTTTTTGCATGAGATACAAGGCAAACGTTTGAACGTGTTGTACTTCCTCAGAAAATCAAAAATGCAAGTTCACTTGGGATGGGATGTGAAATTAAAATATGGCGACTAGACAAATAATCGTTCAAGTGCACATGTGGTTTAAATGACCTACTAGACCTTTGGGCTTGTTGTTTAAAGTTCGCATCCACACATGGCTCAACAGTGCTTCTTGGGAGACACAGTTTAAGAGCTGCTCCTCTTTACAAGAGGGGGAAACACGGTAACGCAATGTCAATTGAAGCTACACCCTCTACTTTGCCAGGCTTTAGAGTCAATGGACTTGTCCAGCGACTTAATTCCAAGAAGGAAAAACAACACTAGTCTATGAAAAAGAGTTATGACAAACTTTAGAAAAACCCTCCATTACTGATTCTAAACAAACAAAAAGGAACAAAAAAAACATCAAATACCAAACAAATTGATTTGGCAAGAAACCCACTTCTAAAACTGATTAATTTGAGAAAAGAAAAGGTTAAAAAACACTCACAATGGAGATTTTTAAAAACAAAACAATACAAAAAAAGAAAAAAAAAAGCCATACAAAACTTTTACCTTCGGTAAACAAATAACACTGCTGAGATAACACTCTGGTTTTAGCTGTATGGCCTTTATAGCACATAACGAGGTGAGAAAAGCTAGCCTGGCTGTGCTTTCAAGGTACACAGGTATGTTGGTTTACCCAGAACATTCATATGTCCAAGACCCTCATGTCAACATCTAGTTTCACTAGTAGCTGTAAAAACACAATACTGTACATGCCTAATTCATTTGGCGAATAAAATCCTGTTAAAATCATTGTGCCTTTCAGATTTCAATTCAAATTCAAGGTGCATGTTTGCATTACTCTTGTAAACGCTGAAATATGGCTATCAATTAAAAAAATGAAAAATAATAATAATAATAAAGCAGAACAAATAAAAAAGGAAAGGAAATCTTGGTCTACTATTGTACCAGCACTTGATGTCGTCTCATGTAACAACGCTGTTGACCTTCTGTGCATGCGGTAATAATAATAATAACTAGAAGAAACTGAGTGCTATGATTCAATCCGACACAGAGGTATCATGTGAACGTTTCCCCCGCCGAGGGGGGGAGAGAGACACGCCGACCCTGGCAACAAGATATGCTCTTCTCTCAGCTGGATGTTGAATTTGACAGCAAATTCTTCTTGACATTGATATGTGGGAAGATGGCACAGATCATGTGTTGTACCCTTGATGTTTTCACGTGTGATGAGACGTGGCAGACCCTCCTTGTCCCACTGCTTGACATTCTGAAGGTTATGTACATAAAGGCTGAACTCTTTTTTTTTGGCTTGGACGGTGCCAGCACACATTCATTTGATCTGCAAGAGACGGTGGATTTAGCTTAAATCAAACTGATGGTAAAGTGTGGTTAGAAGCTCTGTGCGCATACAAATTCAAGGGAAACTTGAAGCAGATAATATGAGTCACACAAATGGAGAAAAAAAACCAAACAACTTGTGATGAATAGAGAAAATGTGAGGGTTGAAATAGGAACTCACTGTTCTTGAGAGGAACTACATCTGAGTCAAGTACTTGTGACTACTCAGATGATCTGCAGATATTATTGGAATCTGGGGATAGAACAACAGACAAGAGATCAAATGAAGGATGCTGACGCGATAACGGACAAAGCTGAGGCTGGCCGGCGCAAATAAGTACAGATCAACATATTTTAACATCATCTCCTCGCATTAAGATGAAGTTATTGCTGGAAAAAACAAAGACAAATATGACAAGCTGGGGGAAAAAAAGCAATTTGGCTACAGTTGTGGCACAACTGATGCAGACACTTCTGGATAGCAGGGAGAGAGGAGGAGTAAAAGGAAGGGAGACTCGAGGTGGGAGTTTGGGGCGGGGGAGGTGGATGGGAAACTGTCAGTAAGGTGGCTTCCCCCATGCAAATCTAAGTCCTCCATGTTGTTGACCTGCACGCCTCGGTAAAATGCATAAAACTAGTCCAGGATGAAGAACAGCTGCATAATGGTTCATCTCGACTGTTCATCAATCCTGTTTAATGGAAACCTATGATTATGCAATGCAGCTTGCTGCTTACAAAAAAACGCCTCCAACAGAACTGAACTTAAACACGCAGCAAGTCATCTTACAGACTGATTTTATAACTTTTTTTCCTGACATTAATAATGAGTATGTCCAGCTTTTTAACACAAAGAATATGGTAAAGCTTTGCTTTACGTGCTGGAAGAAGCAGCAGAAAAAAAAGAGAGGGGAAAAAAAAGCAAAGCACCAAAGGGCACAGATAGCAACTATTGCACAAGCTGTGCAAATGGCTCTAAAAATGTGGGGGAAAAACACTGCCTCATACATACCAATTGCATGTATTCGTTGGAAGTCAACTTTGATAAGGAAGAGTCCTCAAAATGGGAAAGGACAAAAATCGAGGTTACAATGAGGACACACATTAAAATACAATACAGCATGTTTTTGTTGTTGTTGTTGTTGTTGTTGTTGTTGTTTGCTCTTTTTAAACACAGGTATATAATCTAAGAAAAATAGTTATAGTTAAAATGGACAAGTACTACTAGTTTATAGCACTGCTTGTGTTCACAAAACTTTATGTTGGACTGTAGTGTAGGCCAACAAGAGGGAGTCCTGCTGTTTACCCAACCCTTGCATTAACACACAAGCATTCCCAGATTATCCATGTGCACTGAGATAGATAGATAGATAGATAG